GGCATCAAGGGTTGACCAATTTGGCATAGATGGTTAAACTACTTACCCACCACCTAGATGAAAAAAAAAAGAAACAATTATATTTCTGTGTTGATTTTAACATATAGGTATATAGGTTTTTATACTATGAAAATGATTGTTTATGGGGTTAATACCTTAAATATAGGACTCAATGATAGATAATAGGGGTTAATATCTTAAATATGAGATTTAGTGAGAGAGAATTGAATGAACTGAATATTAGTATTGAAATTATATATATTTTTTTGCCCCCAAAATAAAGAATGTCCAAATCCAAAATGAGGGGTATTTTAGTTAAGAAATATTTCAAAAATCAATGAGAGATAATATCTTAAATATCATATTTAATGAAGGGGAGTTGAATGAACTAAAAATCTCAAGCCTCATTCGTGCTTTTTATTGTAGTATAGATATAGGTTTTTGTGACAATGACAAGTTACCTATTATTAAATAGGTTGTATGACTTGTTGCATCTCAAATTTTATAATTTTGATCAGTTAAAATTTTACCTATTAGGGGGGGTGTATGATCAGTTAAAAACTCTTTTGGGATCATACCTTTCATACATATGAAGAATATATATAATATTAAGGACATGTTCAAATTTTATAATTTTTTATATTTTGTATTTTAATTATTTCACAAGTTAAACTTATTTAACTAGGAGGGAAATGCAATTGCAATTGAGTTTTAAAATATTGGTTTTATCCCATGTCAAATAGGTAAACCCATCACTTGACAATGATTCTAAGTCCATTTACCACCAAATCCCTTAATTACTTGCAAGAGACCATTTGCTTAGTTAATTAGAAACATGGTGATCTAATTGAACCATTTGACCAAATTAGTGGGATCACAAATTAGACATGAAATTTTCTAATTTTTGTTTTACAATTCTATCATTAATAAAAACAACTCTTATTTATCACACTTTTTAATATTCCAAAAACATAATGTTAGACATGTGTCCAAAATTATTCTATTATTTTTGTATTTTTTTTATAATTCTTTATTTTAAAAATTTTATTTTTAATTTTGGCACCATGGGTTGACCAATACAACCCAAATGGTTGAACCACTAGCCTATCACCTAGATAGAAAATGGTTTCATTTCTGATTAAATTTAAATTTTATATTCTATTTTCATCATTAATAATTAGTTCATATTTAGCATATTTAACTTTTTTGTTGCCATTGTATGACTTGGGTTTTTTCTTATTCTATTTGGGCACTTCTTTTATATATACTTCATTTTTCTCTTTTAATAAAGTTTTAGTTTACAAAAAAAAAAGTATCAGACTTGTGTTTAACATTACAATATATGATAATAGTGATGTGCCCAAAATTTTCTACAAATTTTCTTTATTTTTATGTTTTTGTATATTTATCTATTTAACTTTTATTATTTAATTATGATATCATGGATTGATGCATTTGGCCTAGATGGTTGAACTACTTACCCACCACCTAGATGAAAAAAATAATGATTTCATATTTTCATTTCTGGGTTGATTTTAAAAGTATATGTTTTTAATACTATGAAAATCATTGTATATGGGCTTAATTAATGAAATTTAATGATAAAAAACAAAAATATCTTAAATATAGGATTCAATGATAGAGAATAAGAGTTAAATATCTTAAATATGGTATTTAATGAGAGAGAATTGAATAAACTGAATAGTAGTATTGAAATTACATTTTTTGCCCCAAAATAAAGAATGTCCATATCCAAAACGAGGGGTATTTTAGTTAAGAAAAATTACAAAAAATCAATAGGAGTTAATATCTTAAACATGAGATTTAATGAGGGGTGAAGTGAATTAATGAACTGAATAGTGGTATTGAAATTACATTTTTTGCCCCCAAAATAAAGAATGTCCAAACTCAAAATGAGGGGTATTTTAGTCAAAAAATTCTAAAATTCTCAAGCCTCATTCATGATTTTTATAGTAGTGTAGATATAGGATTTTGTGACAATGACAAATTACTTATTATTAAACAGGTTACATGACATGTTACCTCTCAAAGTTCTATTTGCATAAATTGAAGTGATATTAGATAGGGGTGAGGATTCAATTAAAAACCGAACCAAATAAATCGAAATTTTAAAAACTGAAATAAAAAAATTAAAGCCAAACCGAAATAACCAAAACCGAAATTTTTGGTTATTTCGGTTAAAAACCAAATTTAATTAATATATATAAAATATTATATATTATAATATATATATATATATATATATTAAAATATATATTATGAAATTGAATTTCATTATAATATATTAATATATAAAGATATAGCATATTATATATTATATATTATATATTACATCTTATATAATGAATTTCAGTTAATTCGGTTAACCAAATTTCTAACTCCAAAAACCGAAACCAAAAACTGAAATTCCTAAAAATTGAAAAAACCGAATCAGAAAAAACCGAAACCAAAATTTTTTGTTCGATATTTCAGTTTTAACCGAGTAATGCTCACCCCTAATATTTGACCCTTAAATTTGAAGGCTATAAGAAGATATTGTTAAGTCTATTGGTTTAAGTGGTTAGAAATGGTTAGATGAGTTTTCTATATAGTTTACACTTGGGTTGGTGTAATTTTTTACTACATTGGTTTAAAACCTTGTCATTTGAACTAGAATGTCATCACCATCTAACCCTTGTTTGAACTAGTTGAGTATGTTTTTCCAAAATTGATTAGTTTCTTTTTAGATATACATTTATAACTTGAAATTCTGAGCTGTCATGGTCACACCTCTTTATCTAGTGATTTAAACGGATCAAATTGAATAAGATATACTAGATCCTAAGATCCCAATTTGATTCATTTATATTTGCATTCAAATCAAATATGGATTGCAATCAGATATATGTTGAGTAGCATTAATAAATTAAATTAAAAAAGATCAAAATACTACACATTATTAATGAAATGATCTAAAAATGACTTTGATATTATATATCATGAATAAAATAAATAGAATTAATTTGTAAAAATCATGAACATTTGATTCTTTAGTAAAAACACAACATTTAAGCCAAATTTACCAATAGATACAACATATTTTTTTAAGAATATACAAACATATACATTTTAATTGAACCAAAACAGAACATATTGGAATGGTAGGGGTGGATCCATATTTAATTCAATTAATCAATTATAAATTTATCAAGTTTGGATCACCCTTAATTGGATTGAGTTCAGGTTTAAATTCAGAGAAATGGATACCATTTGCCATGCATCCTATCTTTTATCATGTCCACACGGAAATTACAAACTAGATTCTATAAATTTATAATGGTAAAGAGCAAAATTATCTTTCTTTTTGGCTATATTAATCATTTTGGTTAGAAGGTAATTAAGCAGGAACTATAAACACATTAATGTAAAAATGTCCATAGATAAAACAGAAAAGAAATGGATTTTAGTTTTAATAGCTTCTTAGTGTGAACAGTAATAAGTTGGATTGGATTCTTGATAGGTTATTATGAAACAAGATAAATAAAATATTGTCCTTCAAAACGCCACAATTTTCCAATCTTCAAATCATCATCATCGCCAATCATTTTTATTGTTGTTGCTTAAAAATTGTCTTTGTGCAATTGCATATGTTTTTACGAGTGGTGAAATAGTACTCTGGATCTCCTACCCACAAATTCTTCCTACATCCCTATCCACTACACACTATTGCCATAAATTGGAAAATCTTCCCATAAATGATAAGAGAGATATTCCTAATACATGCTTATACTAGTGTCCTGTGTGGTGAAGGATATGATAAGAGTTTGTAGGTAGAGATATTCCTAATGCATGCCTATAATAGTGTCTTGTGATGAATGATGTAAGAAGAGTTTGTGAGTACGAGAGCTGAACTCTGAAAAGAGATACTACAAATGCATCATGTAATCTGCTGCAGTTTTCTCCTGCAATTCGATTCCACAATGGAAGTGCAACAGGTCCAGATTCCATTCTAACATCTAATCGACTAATCTGAAAATGTGTTTTTTTTTTTCTGTTTTAAGCTGATCTGTTATCTGCAGTTGTTCCTACATCTCTATCCACGAGTAATTGAGTACATCCCCAAATGTCAGCACAAAAAATACATTTTAAAGAAAAAGGAAGAAGCAAGAGAAGAAAGGTTGGAATGAACACAATTTGCAAGCCAATCAACAACCCAATTCCTTTACCGATAAGTGTGCTCGTATTCAACGACATTATCCATCCTCTCAATCAAAATCCTGCACGCTTCAGTGATCCTTCTCAATCTCCATTAAAAATTTATTTAATTCTTCAAACTATTAATAACTAATTTGAAATCACCCTCAACGATAATAGATTTTCCGTTGAAATTGAGAAGGAATATAATTATATCTGTGCATTGAAAATATATCCCTTATTCTTATCATTCATTGGAAATGTTTGTTCTCTGTGTATGAATGTAGGAATAATTTGTGGTAGCAGATTAGGAGTGCAATTAGGCATCCCGAAATTCCTCCTTTGGGGAATCTTGCTGGCCATCCTCGGGAGAAAAGCCATGAATCATTAGCATCTACTGCTTGACAAGCACACTTTGGAAGCTTGTCAGAGTAGAAAAAGTAGAAAATCAACAAAGGACCGCCCCACAACGCCTCATTTCCGCCGTATATTGAAAATATTTATGAATGATGCTATCTTTGGTTTTGATATTATCATCGGAGATGTTCTCAATACACTGCCGGGATGAACTGTGGGACGGAGATGTAACCTCGATCTTTCCTACCTACCTACGCACAAAAGTTTTCAAAACCGACCACACACGGCCTTGAATTCATTTACAATTTGCACTCGCATCAAACATTTACATGTGCGACGCATCTCATTTGTTTGTATTGTATCATGTTATTTTCACTGAATTTGACCAAAATACCCCTCTATTAGCTTTCTTGTTTTGTCTTCTCTGTATCTCTGAGTGGCGCCAGTGGCCACGCCTTCACCATCCACTTCAGTCTGTAGATCCCGTGACTCTCAGAAAATTTTTTACGGCGAAATTAATACGACGAATGTTACTATCCAAATCTCACCGAATCTCCACCATAATGCCTCTCCGGAAATCCATAAAACCCCCCTCCTCTAACCCCTCAACCTCAAAGCGCTCCAAATTCCTCTTCATCTCCATGGCTTCTCTCTTCACTCTTACCCTCCTCCTCTACCTCTCTCTCTCCTCTGCAACCCACCATGACCACTCCAAACCCCCACATTTCAACCAAACCCAGAAACCAAAACCATCGCTTACAGCAACCCCATCCGAGATCCAACAAGCCTGCAAAGCCACTCGTTACCCGGACACCTGCGCAACCACCGTATCTCAGTCATCCAATCTTCCCCAGAATCCAAAACCCATCGATATCATCCAATCAGCCATCTCCGTCTCCACCCAGAACCTCCAAACCGCTCTGTCAATGGCCAAAGCCATCCTCGACTCCTCCACCGGCAACCCAAACCGGTCCACGGCGGCGAAGAACTGCTTGGAGCTACTAACTTACTCGGAATACCGCATTTCTTCCACAGTCGACGTTCTTCCACGTGGCAGGATCAAGGACGCCCGGGCTTGGATGAGCGCGGCCCTTCTCTACCAGTACGACTGCTGGTCCGCCCTCAAATACGTCAACGATACGTCAAAGGTCAATGAAACGATGGCTTTCGTGGATTCGTTGATTGGGTTTACCAGCAACGCTCTCAGCATGATCGTCTCGTATGATCTGTTCGGAAACGAACTGGGTTCCTGGAGACCGCCGATGACGGAGCGGTCCGGATTTTGGGAGGACGGTTCGATCGGTGGGACCGATCTTGGGTTCAAAGGCGGTTTTCCATCAGGATTGACGCCGGATGTCACGGTCTGCAAGGAGGAGGGAACGGGGTGTTATAAGACGGTTCAATCGGCGGTTGACGCGGCGCCAGATAACCCGGGGATGCGCAGGTTTGTGATCCGGATCAAAGAAGGGGTCTACCAGGAGACCGTTAGGGTTCCGTTTCAGAAGAAGAACGTGGTATTTTTGGGTGATGGTATGGGCAAAACCGTCATCACAGGTTCGTTGAATGTGGGCCAGCCCGGTCTTTCCACCTACAACACCGCAACAGTCGGTAAGTAATAGTGACTAGTGAGTGACTTCCATTTTGCTAACGTGCTCCGTGGAGTGCTTGACGCATATTTTAAATTATAATTTTAATGGACAGACGCAATTGAGTTATAGACGATAATTACGATATAGAGTCTGCGGTCTATTAATTACTGTGTTACTACTGGTGCAGGAATTGCTGGGGACGGGTTCATGGCTCGGGACATTACATTTGAAAACACGGCAGGGCCGGACGCGCACCAAGCCGTGGCGTTCCGGTCCGATAGCGACCTCTCTGTGGTTGAGAATTGTGAATTCTTGGGCAATCAGGATACACTCTACGCCCATTCCCTTCGCCAATTCTACAAATCATGTCGAATCCAAGGCAATGTTGATTTCATTTTTGGAAACTCGGCCTCAGTCTTCCAAGACTGCCTCATCCTGGTCCGGCCACGCCAAGATACGCGCAAGAAGGGCGAGAACAATGCCGTGACGGCCCATGGTCGGACCGACCCGGCTCAATCGACAGGATTCGTATTCCAAAATTGTGTGGTCAACGGTACAGATGACTATATGGCATTGTACTACAGCAACCCCAAGGTTCACAAGAATTTCTTGGGTAGGCCATGGAAGGAATACTCTAAGACAGTGTTTATACATTGTTATCTAGAGGCTCTTATCACCCCAGACGGGTGGATGCCATGGAGTGGCAACTTTGCATTGTCAACACTTTACTATGGTGAATTCGAAAATACCGGGCCGGGGGCGAAAACGTCATCGAGGGTGACATGGAGTAACCAGATACCGGCCGATCATGTATTCGCCTATTCAGTGCAGAATTTCATTCAAGGCAACGAGTGGATACCTACATCTTCTTGATGAATATAAGTTTGCAATAGTTTTGCTTTTGATCATGTCAACAAAAGAAACCAAGTAGTAGATTTATTCCAGGGAAAGTTTGCTTCCCTTCTGTAATTATGTTTCTTTTACTCTTGTTTCTTACATGAAAGAAAAGGGGTTTTCACAATTCTGATAATAGAGAATCTGAATTCCCAAAATCATGTATAAAAATCAATCAGATTGCTAGCATTACAAAGGTGACTACTGGTCTGGTTGCAATTTCATTCCCAGCGCATCTTGTGTCCCAAGCTTCATGAATCCATGTCTTGTGGTAGTTCAACAAGTTTGTTGTTGAATCGAATTTTGCTATTTGGGTTCATTAACAAAGCTATGAATTATAAATTGCATATATAGCACAAAAAGAAACCGAAGTCCAAACCATGAACCTGGCAATTAGGATCCCGCATCTCCAAACTCCAAACTGATGGCTTCATTTGGTGGACAAGCCAGGGTATTGGGCTCTAATGCCATGCATTCTTTGAGGGATGGAAGGGAGAAATTGAATGTTCAAAATAATGCAATATTAACTTGACTTATCCTGAAAATAATGCAATATTTTATTGATTCATTCAGCTTTACTCATGGTTCCCTCTACCCAAAGAACACCATTAGTGGGGTAGTTTAGGCTTTTTGATTTTCAGGCCAGAGGCTTGTGGCAACATGAGATTGAGCTTATGTCCAAAATTTAAAGATAATCAGGGCTTTTTGTCCTTTGTTTTTTAACATTATCTGATATATAAAGTTATCTGTAAAAAGCAATGTTCAGAGAACCGGACTGGGCATTGACCCGAAAAAATGATAAACAATGCAAGTGGCAACTCAATCAAGGCCAATAATGCCATGAATTTTCCTCAAGGGTTAATGTTGTTAGAGTGTGTACGTGTGTGTACATGTAGGGAAACCGGATTTAGTCAGTGCCAAGTCCATTCGAACAACCATTATAGCCCTGCATTGGGAATATCTCCCCATAAAATAAAGAACAGGAGTACAGAGATATTCCCGATACAAAGCTGTAAAGGCTGTTCGAAACGGTGTTCGAACAGGCCTTGCACTGACTGAAGCCGGTCTCGTTAGTAGGAGCATCACCGACCTAGAAAAAAACTAGTTAATAGAGCTTTAGTGGGCATATATAGGTGTCAACTTTCCTATTACTAATAAATCCATGTAAAGTTAGAAACATAAACAAGGGCTAATATGACGTATTTTCTAATCTCAGTTCTTATCTTTAACAGAAAAAACAAACAATAAAACAAAGTCTTTAGAGCGTTTTAACATCAGTCACTCTATCATTGTTTCTGAGAAGTCAGGTAAGTCATGATTCTAGCTCCTCTTCCCGAAGCCAAGTCATACTACAGTAACACCTTAGTGGCTTCCCACTATCAGTAGCATGCGCAGTATATGCATCCACTTTCTATCACCCTCCATCCTCCAAACACCACCTTTATTTTGCTTTTGTATTTTTAGGACAGTAACCAGATCCTACAAGTGTTTTTGACATCTAATGGAGATGTTAAATATCTAGAAAAATCAAGTAAAATTATCCAGTGGGTAAAATTGTAAAATAGATCATTCTTAGATGTTACAGCATTCAGACATCCAAACAATTTCACTGTATTCAGAGGATCAGAAAGACAGAAAAGAAGATAATAACTTTCACCATCTGGTGATCAGAACTGTTATCAGAACATTTTTCTTTTCAGAGATAAGTTCAGTTTTATCGAAGGCCACCAGATGATGATGATGCTGATTTGGCATGAGTGAAGTATTTACAAGGACCATCCTATGGTGGTGATCTTGGAATATGGTCCATCCAAATGGAAATAAACATTTGCATCAGTTGCCTGTTCAAGCAATTAAACCTCATACCTGGAGGGAAAGCCTATGAAAAGAGGAAAAGATGAATAAATAGGCATCAGTTTTCAGTATGCCCGTGCTCCAGTTGCACTTTCCACCGCTTCATTTGACAACTTTGTAGCTGCCAAGAGCTTATGTGACTTGAACATTAAGCAGGATGCCTGGTAAGAGACCAGGGCAAAGCTTCCAAGAAGCAGAGCAGAAGTTGACCTGTATGCCATCTCTCTCTCTCTCTCTCTCTCTCTCTCTCTCTCTCTCTCTCTCTTCAAGTAACACCATCTTGGGAAAGGGAGGGAAAATTCATTCGTGTAATTTCTGGAGAACAAGGATCCATGCTAAATGATATAATCTAAAAACTGATAAACGGTATTTGCTCTTATTATATTCATTTGAACCATGGAAAAATTAACTGTTAAACTTCAATAAAGCTCTTATACTAATACAAAGATAGTATGATGAAGGCAAATTAACTTTGATTCATGGCAGTTACAGTCTCTTGATGGGACCATTGAGTGGTGGGTCCCAAATAGCTTAACATGAAAAATATGGTAGCCTTGATAAAGATGCTCTTTATATGAGAAGAATGTTCAGAAATGATGATGCTCGGTAAAATGTATTGCTAGGTCCATCCATGTTTTCAAGATTGGGGAAGAAAATATAACCATGCGAAATGTACAATAGGAGACATGCAAGAAAAATGCCTCAGATTCAAGCTTTCAACCTACTAATCCCATTAAATTGGGGCAATTTATCAACCTCAGAAGAATTGAACATGATTAATTCTACAAATTTTAGACTATAAAATAGGTAATTAATACCTCATCCAGAGGCATTTGGTATTGACAAGAGGAGATTCATATGACATATGGCATGCCCCATTTGTTGATTAAACTTGGGGCATCTGTAACTGAAGTTTCACCTATGAAGGGAAAAGTAATGCATTATGGAGACATACCACAATCTACAAACTAGAGAGAGATGCTGTGGTGACTGTAGGTGTAGTTGGGGTAACTGTCGCATTGTCTGTCCAATTTGTCTCACCCCAGTGCCATAACATGCTCTCCCAGAAGCAGAAATCCTCAAAGCATGTCTTCAAACGGTGATCAGTTATATTGATCCTCCAATGTCCATCCGTGTAGTTGCCCTTCTCAGCTTGTCTCCGGTCCCATTCTAACGCTGCCTTCTGCTTGGACCTCAACAGGCAGAACTTCTGCAAGTTCTCTGGCATTGCATCATGAACCTTCCACCACTGCTTGTGTGCAACATCACTTGCAAACTCCTGTAGTATGTCCACATTCCAGTTGCAGTCATAGTCCCGGAAGCATAGCCATGGCTTTAGACCCAGATAATGGAGGACATAAAGGATCGGAGGATCAGCCCCAAAGAGACGGGTTTTCATCTCTTTTATCTCTTCTTCGTCACCTATCCAGAAGTGCTTCAAGAAGTTCATGTGTTTAGGAATGCGGTGCCACCATGTAAAAACTTCATTCAGGTATCCTTGGTCCCCACCATTGTAGGACTCAATCTCATTGATGTGATCCATCAAGAGCTGAAATGTGCAGTTTGATGGCTCGATTACCATCACCCCAGAATTGAAGAGGGTGGCATTGTTTCCAGTTGCAGTAATTTCTGGCATCCCAAACAGAAAATCAATGTTCCTTAGGATGAGCAGGTCTGCATCAATGAAGATAATCTTGTCATAGTCTGTCAGCTGCCAGAGGCGAAACTTGCTGTAGTTCCATTCATTGTATGCATCCCGTTCAGCTTTTGGATTCCGGATCCTCTGGATTGTGCGGATTTTCCATCCTGCTGCCTCAAGGCCACCCCTGTGATACTCACTAATTGTCTCATCCACAAGAATCACTAGGTCCCTTGTAGAACCAACCATGCGGATACTCTGGGCTGCAGCAATGGCACCACAAACATAGACATGAGCTGAATGCAGAATCGTTGCATATGCTTCCCGATGAGATTTTCCTGAGTATGCTCTCTCTGTTTTACAGATATTGTATAAGAGCTTTAGAACTTTGAGTAAAACTTTGTGAACTTGATAAGAAGTCCAAACTCCAAAGTGTACATTCAATAGGGTACAAATAGGAAACCTTCTTGCATACATGTGGCATATCCATAGGTGTTGGGAACCATAATCAGTCAGGTATCAGGAGCAAGGATGTAAATAGTTTCATTCCCTACATAGACTTGAGATTTTGTAGGAGTTCCTTAATTAATGAGATGTAGTGAACCATAAGGATTAAGGTATCGATATGATACTCCTAATACGGGGCGTATTATATCTTTATCCATGATCATGGATACAGGATACGCTACGACTGGATACGTATCATACGAGTCGTGCGTATCGGTACGATACGCCTCCGCATCGAGCCATATCGCACCGTATCGGTGGATATGGTCCGATACACACTGATATGGAGGTGTATCCGTGTCTAGTTTGACAAAATTGTACATTGAGTACTTTTGGATTGCTTTTCATCTTTAATACAAATTAAAAAATAGTATTATGAAAAATAAAATAAATAATTTAAGATTTAATTTTCCCAAAAAAATTAATAAAAACTAAAAATTATAAAAATAATATATTTCATCTACCTTAGATGATTTATATATTTTATTTTACACATAATTATATGTTAAAAATGAAAACATAGTTATTATTTGAAAAAATAGAGTTATTATATAAAAATACTAAAAAGATAATTTTTCCCAACAAAATTAATGGAAAACAGAAAATTATAATTACAAAAACTGAAATGAATAACTTAAGATTTAATTTTCCCAAAAAAATTAATAAAAACTGAAAATTAAATATAATTTATTTTATCTACCTTAAATGATTTATCTGTTTTATTTTACAATTATGTGTAAAATAAAAGCATTATATGTTAAAAATGAAAACATATATATTATTTAAAAATGGTTGTTATTTAAATAAAATACTAAATTAATAAGTATTCCCAAAAATTAATAAAAATTGAAAATTATAATTATAAAATTGAAAGAGTGATAATTATTGTACAATGTTTGAATGTTCTAGAGTCCCGGTATTATTTATTGTAATATTTCTCTTCATATAACCTATTGAAGTATGCATTTCTCATGTGTTTATATCTTATTCATAGATAATTCAGCTTTTGGTTTAGTATGATTAATGTATTTATGCGATTTGTATGCATTTCACTAGTGTATACAAGCATTTCTATATCTTTCATTCATAGCCATGTGTTTCCAAAGTGTATCCGTATCCGTATCTGAGTTATCCGATACGATACCCGATACCGTTACTTTGATCCTTGAACCATAATCAGCCAAGTTTCATAAACAAGGCTGTAAATGTTTTTCTCCCTTACATAGAATTAAGTTTCTTCATGCAGAAACAAGGAAGAAAAGAAAAAAAATGGAGGATTATCTTCTCTCCTACCTTTAGACTTAAATTTCACTTCTTCTTCTTCCCTGATGCTCGGCACCTCCTTCTCTCTTTCTTTCTTCGTATTTGTCTCTCTTGTTGCTGGAACTTACACTACTAGAAATGGCATTAGCTCCCTCTCCTGCAAGGGGAGGGGTTTATATAGAAAAGGGAGGTGGTTAGATAACTCCCCACCCCTCTTTTCTTAGGGTACCATATGTCACTCCATTTAAAGAAGTGGGACACCTCACAAGTCTATGTGGGTCTTTATTAATTAACACAAACTTAACTCTTTTAGGGAATGCTGCCTATTTAAATGGGTTCTACTGCAGGCCCATTAAATGTTTAATGAGTTGTGATTATGGTCTACTGTCTGCTTAAATAGATTTACTGTAGGCCCTCACTTTCTTAAATAAATTATTTCTGCTCACCTAAAGGATTGGTCCTAGAAGACTGGTTTGAAATGAAAGGTTTTAGAAGTTCTGATTGGGAGAAGCCAATTAGCTACTCTCAACCCAGAAAAGTTTGAGGTTTTAACAACCATGAAAACCCATATCCTGGTCAGCAACATGGAAATCAGGGAGACTCAAAAAAAAAAAAAGATGAAATTAGGGCAGGACTCTGTCCATAATCAACAGCATATGGATCATAATGAAAAAAGTGGAATAAGAAATTAGTAGATTATTGAGGAAACCCTGAAATAGAGAAAACTTATATAAAGTGGAACCATAGAAATGAATCTGGAGAAGTATATGGTATCGACTATCTGCCTTATTGAGGAAGCATTTCAAGTTTTTGATTCTCTAAGGGATTGACATTGATGTAAGTTCAAATTTTCTTAACGAGCTTTGATTGTAATTAGATAAATATGCAAAACACATGACGCAAGTTAGAAGGAAAGTCATATTATTACCTTTTGCTTTGAGTGGAACTGCAAGTTCACATGATCCAACTGGGAGCCCAAGCTTCTCTCTCAGCACACTTAAATTGGGCTTGTAGAGCCATGCATTCCCTTCATGTATAACAAGATCTTTGCAAATGAAAAGGTTTGGAATTGGGAAACAGTCGGTCAAAATGAGCACATGTACAGGATGGTAGCCTTTAGCAGAGGCAGCAAGCCTTGCTGCTGCAAGCTGCAAGTGCAACCGAGCAACATCTCTTGACCACTCCCCTGATCTATTACAGGGAAGCTTTACTGCAATGAGATCAAGTCGTGGCGTTTTAGAAACCTCAGGCTCAGGTAGAGATGGACAAATGGGCACTTCAGATTCTTCTTCCTCATCTATCCATTCAGGATACAAGGACTCCCAAGTAACACTTTTATCAACATAATCCAGGTGCAGCACAGCATGCTTAGCACTTGGTGGTAAAAGCTGTTTCCACTGGTCAATTTCAGTGTCATTGAAATTCAATAGACCTATTATCTGATGTATATTGCTGTCAGGCAGTCTTGCAATGGTTTCTCTGATCTGGTCCCAATCAACATCTACATATGACACATAACGTGCATCTGCAACAGGCCTCTCCCATATCCATCTATCTACAAAACTTGGTCTGCAGAAATAAACTTACTTCAATATCTTGAAAAAATTGATGTAGATGCCAAGTTTTATCTACTAAACAACATCTAAGAATTTAGAAATAAATTACCCAATCATAACAGAGATTTTATAATTATATGTTCAGAAAGGGAACCTTTTAATACATAAAGTAACAAGGGTATTGGATAATCAATAAATAGTGGGAAGAAAAGCAGATTCCCCTTTTTCCTTGAATCTAGGTGTATATTTTTTTGGTCATTAACAGAGGTAGGAAAATAGAAGGGTAGAAAATTCAGTTGAACACGGATTTTTGATAATAGAAAGTACAAACAAATTGTTCAGAATGTGGGCACCTCTAGGGTCTAGGAGCATCTTTTGATAAGATGTGTGCAAGAAAGTATCCTAATCAGGCATGAAGCCACATGGATAAAATATATCCTGTCACACAAGAGGATTATAATCATCTGATATGCTCAGATTTTGATGAAGAACACAAAATAATCTTTCCCATGCATGAAAATTGGTTTTGCTATGCTACACCCCTAGTTGGAAATTCTACATAAGCTTAATTTTATGGAAAAAATAACTATCTGAAAAATGCTTCATTTCAGAAAAAAAGGGTATCTCAAAAAGTTAAACCAAACTTCAGGTGGTAACAAACACCAATCAAATAAGAATTAAAAACATACCTAGTTCCATAGTCTGATTGGTACTCATTATACACTGCTGGAGAGTGAAGGAATGTCAAAAAAGTTCCAAATAGAATAATAACCAGTACAAGTTTCATTGAAAGGAACTTGCAATTTCGATTCCTATATTGGACGAGGGCCTGGAAATGCTTCCCAACATCTTTAAAATCCTTACTTCTGTGGAATCTTCTTTTGTTTGTGTCATCCCTGGAGCACACATCAGTCATGAGGCAGTTAGAACAAAGTAGGTGCAAAATAAATTTAATAAACAAAAAAGTGAGCATGGTGATGGTAGAAAGAAACTTATAGTAGAGTTAGATGCTTCTCTCACTGAAAACAATGAAGCATTCAACTTACTTTCATATCATATGCAAGACAGGGTATCAATTGCTAATGAGATCATTGTAAGCATTACAAAAGTGTTAGTACTTAGTATTGCCACTTTCCACGTGTATTGATGAGGGCGGATTTGGCCCTCCAATGACATTACGACACCTGGCACCTCATGCCAACTAAGTGCAGCCTCTTGACAACTAGACAGCTCGAGCTCGCCACAGGCAGTTCGCCACTAAGCAGCTCGCCATAGGCAGCTCGCCACTTACGGGCAGCTCGCCTCCTAGTCAAACCGACCACCATGTGACAACCCCGAGGAGCTCGCCACCGTACCCCGCATTTCATGGGATTGTGACTTGTAACGGCTATATTAGCTCACCCACTCCCCGATTAAGGCGGAAATAGGCAACCTTACCAGTTGGTGGCTTTATGCCCATCTAACACGAAAGCAGGTTCCATCACAGCGGGAATCCAGGAACTGCTCCACCAAACCCACGAGGACTCCAGTATATAAAGGCCTCACCCCCCCAGGGGCGAAGAGATGATGGATGGTAACCCCTGCTCCCTAGCTCTTTCATTCTCTAATATCATTCTCAGCTCGCTACTAAGTGCTGACTTAGCCATCGGAGTGACCTCATCGGGTAAACAGCCCCGGGTTCTCTGATTCAGTTCTCGCGGGTTCCTCAACTCCCGCCAGGAGCAGATCATCTCCTCCAGGGAGCAGCCGGGTTGTGCTACGCTAGGGAGCTCCACTTCAGCCTCCGAGTCATCGGCCACTTGGGAGCAAACGAGGTGACAAGGTACTTAGCCAAAAATTGATACGTGACCAGAAAACGTTAATTTTAGAGCATATTGGGCCATCGTCTGCTCCTGTTGATGAGGTTCTTTGCTTCTTTCGTTTTTTGTTTGTCCTTTTCCTGATCTCAAGATAAGAAAAGGGCAAAAGACCAATCCCAGCTAAGAGATCCTAATATTTATGTATTCTTTTAACTTTGTTTCTGTTTGAGGATAAGGTTGGATTTTGAAGAACCCCTAAAAGTAACAAGATTTCTAAGGGTATGATGCAAGAGAGGGGGTTCCCTCTTTAAATTCTCAGGTAGAAGGTCCAAGATAATGGAGTGACAGAAGAAAGAAAAGTTAAACTGTAGTCTGGAAAAGTCTGAATACAAATAGATGGGATTGGATTAATGAATTGACAATGTTAGAGACAGTATAAGAGGCCTGAAAAAGGTTATGGAATTGAATATGGGGTAGTATTTCATGGAAAAACAACCTGAAAGGAGCACCTCAATTGAATAAACAGTACCAGAAATTTTGGAGTTCGAATGTGCAACAGGAAATTTTGACTTTGGTTCATATTCATAAGTATTGTATATAGTTAGAATAAGGCATGGATGATGGTGATGATGATGATGATTCATCAGTATTGTATGTGCTAATAGGTGATAATTCTGGGTATTCTGTACTCAACACAAATAGAAACTGGAAACAGTATCTAAAGTGACAAAGGATTTCAATGAAGTTCAAGTAATGAGAAAAAGAAAGTTTCAGATTAAGATTATCATTGCTAGCTAAAAGAATGGTGGCTAAAGTAATGTTCTTGTTCTCTATGTCTAATACTACAAAAGGCATTATACGTAGGATACGGTATCCTTTGCACCAAAACTACCATCTTCCAGAGGATGTTTTATTACTTTAAGAAGACTATTGCCGAGTACAGACAAGCCTCAACAAAACCAGTGAAACCATGGAAGATTTAGAGAGACGACAGCTTTGAGAAAATCTACTTTTGAAATTAAAGAAGTTGGAGGAAAAGTGCTGCTTCATGTGAATTGATATTGCACGATCTAATAGATGTAAGGAACCAAAGTAATTCTAATAATGAAACAATCCAATAACAAGTTCTGCCAAAAGTACAATAAAAAGGCAACAGGCAAGGATTACACAACAAAAACAAATGAAACTGAGCCATTCAAAGAAGAAAATTGAGGTTAGTCTACCACCAAAAACATGGGCCATCGGCTTGTTTAAACATGCAGTTTTTTTTTTTTTCCTTTTGATGATAATTACAACCGAAGAAAAAGGAAAGGAACGAATTGTGACCTAAATTAGAAGCCTCCAAGGATGCAATAACTAGTTGTTACAATAAACAGAAACAGAGGGCAACTGAAAAGGATAAGGATAAACATAATACAGGTTTTTGGCCCATGAAAACAGCACAGCATACTCACACTGATCCAGACAATCTGTGTCTAGCCTCCATAGGACTTTGAGACGAACCAATAGCTCCTCTCATCATTATTTAGTTACAGAAGGGGAAGGCAGCATCTGATCTACAAGCAATGTAAAACGTGCCTAACTAAAGAATGTACAAAAACATAAGCTGAGAAAACATAAAACATGGGCAAGTATGCAGATTGTGCATGAAGGAAGCTCGGACAGAGGAAATTTCAAATTTAGGGGAAGATGGAAGAATAAAAATAGAATAATGTGGTAGTTAAAAGTCAAATCGAATGCTAAGGAAAACAGTTGTAAAAAAAATACAGAAAGAAAAGACTGATAAAATTTAAATCTAAGATGCTCGACAGTAGTCAAGGAAATAATCACATAAAAGACTAAGTCAAAGGGGAATTATATAACTGCATAAACAATCAAGAAAATGGTTAGAAATGGAATAAGAAACAACAAACAGAAGCAAACAAGAAATTAGGCAAACTAGACTCTGAAAACAAGAAGAATACAGAAGAGATGAAGAGACAGAGATCCGATCAATCACTATTATCCAGCTACTAACTTTAAAGACCCAGATGCCAGAAAGACATTAATCCGTCAACAGAACATCAGATGAAGTCGAATTAAGCTAAAAGAAGTAAAACAGAGGTACCCCAACTCCCCAAGCTCCAGAAACAAGAGATCTTTTAGAAACCCATATACAGAAAAGCTGCAGACACTTGTAAGAACAGACCTCTAATCTCTCTCCCTTTTCCTATATTCTTCCCATTTCTTTCACGTTGTGCTCGAGTCGGAGATTATGCATTTGGAGTAATCTTCGGAGCAATAAATAAATGTAATAAAATGGCACAAAGAAAGAGGGTTGAGTGTCAGAAAATTTTCATGCAGCTCAGCACAGACAAGTATTACTCTAGCCAGATGAAACGGAAGAATCTCATTAATTAGTTTTTTTAACCCATTAATCATCTTTTGTATCATTTAGTTATTATATTTCCTCTTTTTCTGTAGCATTACAAAAATATAAAATTTTAGTTTTCCAATGAACTCGGCGATTCATTGCTGTTATTCCGTTAAAACAGTTTAACTGGGCGAGTTTTTAACTTTGCTTTTACTATCCTTTTTCGGCATTTATGATTTGGGCACATCCGACGTTTGATAAAACGTAGGCTGCGTTTTAATTTTAGGGCTTCGGGAAGAATAGAAATCGGTGATAGCAATTTTACACTATCCTATGGGTATTCATCCGACAGAGTAAGTTGTTTTAATTGAACCACGTATTAAGCTAAACCCAACCCTCCTCATTTGTGTTTTTTATATATCTTATTGGAATAATTGAAAATTTTATTATTTATTATTTTACTTATTTATAATAAGAATTCTTAAAATCATTAAATCCACTATGCTTTCCCACTTGGGTAACAGAAAGCCAAGAAAACCTTCTCACAATAAATAGTTGTTGAATGAATTTTGAAAAATCAAATAAATCTAACCAATATATTGATTTTTAAAGACAAAACCCCAAAAGTCAATACATCTTTCTGCCATGTGTGTCACAAAATCTTTCAAAAGACTTGCTAAGGCACCAAGAAATTCCCGGCAAGTATCATAATTCATAATAATGATAAAAGCAAATTACACGTGTGTTTTTATCTTTTAACCAATCTATTTTGGGGCTAATAATTAGAGGTTTGCTTCATTATCAAAATGGACTGTGCCCCAAAAACGAACCTTAGTTTGAAATTTTAATTGTTTTCTATGTTTTAGTTTGCTTTGGATGGCTTACACTAGTTAATGATCCAATGTACTGACTAAAACATTATTTTATGGTACCAAAAAATATGAAGAATCAAAAGCATTTATATATCAGATTTTATGTGTAAGAAGACTAAATCAGATTTGATTTTTTATTAAATGATGTGAGCTAACTTTCTAATTTAAATAAGTAAACACCATTTAAAAGTTTGAGTGGGCTACATACCATTCTACATATATTTTTATGATAAATAAAATTTACTTAGCCTGTCCTTGAACGGGTCATGGAACTTTCATGTTAAGATTTAGCATTAAGACTAACAGTTGACAATTATATATATATAGAAGCATCAGTTGAGCCACATTCTTATGGGTTTTATTGGAGGTGAGACACATCATCTTCTAGTTATGGATTTTATACATCATAGTTAAGTATTTACTTAGCTTATTGAAAATATATATATATATATATATAAAACAAGAAAAAAGAAAAGTATCATCAGTGTTGTCATTGTTACCATCATCATTTAAGCCTTGTCCCAATCATATGGGGTCAGTTACATGAATCTTATTTTGCCATTATCTTTGGTGTTATATCATTATTAAATTATGAGCATTTAAGTCATTTCTTATTACTTGGTCTATCTCTAGCCCCTCCAAATTATTGCAATATATAGTTTCTTCTTGTAGGTGTTGTAGATAGTCTTTTATGCACATGACTAAAGTCATCTTAGTCTACTTTTTTCTCATTTTATCACCTACTGAAGCCTTTCAAATGATTTTATTTTATCACCTACTTGTCCATTTTAGCATGCTCATTTTTACCACATTCGTTTTCTAGGCTGTTTCTTGACTACCCAATGCTTTGCTTCATACAGCATTGCTGGCTCTCCAGATGTTTTGTAATTTTTTTTTTTTATTCTATGTGGTATTTACATATCACATAAAAACTCTAGATCTGCTGCCCCTTCATTTTGGCTATCCTGCCTTAATTTTGTAGGCATATCTTCCTTAATCCCTCCTTTATTATGGATTATTGAACCAAGTTAAGTAATGAAAAAAGTTATATTTAAGGTTGTGTTTGGTACCATTGCTAATTTGATACTTCCACTTGCAACATTTTAGGTTAGAATACATCACACCAGATAACCACTTCCACTAAAAAAAATTATTGATTGGATTGTGTGTTGCCATTTATAATAGAAATACCAAATTTGATGTATGGTACCAAATGTTGTATATTGATAACTCAAATCATTTGTGGTAGAAAAAATATATTATCATAAAATGTATATTAACCAACCTAAGATGTTGCAAATAGAAATGGCAATGGCATCCTAAGTTATCTCCTGATCTTCAATCCTAGGTTTACCTTGATTTACACTCATATTATTAAATTTATACACCTATTTACTTTAAAACCTCTCTTTTCTAAGGTATTTGTAGATAAACCCAATTTGCAAGTAAAGGAATAAAATAATTTGGACCACTTTCTACATGTTTTGCGCGCGCCCTTGTCATTTTCTTTCTATGCAAAAAGAAAGTCAAGTTTAAACATGAATCAAAGAAAGATTGTTCCTTTGTCATTTCAGGGAGGAAGAAACATAAAAACCATTAGCACATCATTGTTAGTCATTGTAGGTGATGGATGATGGTAGTTGTTAGATGTGGATTTATGATTTTCTCTTTTATGATAAAAACAAATTAATGATTAGTGCTTTGAGCTGATAGATGTAGTCAGGCGTGACCAAATTTCACTTAACAAATCAGAAGGCCCAAGAAAATCAATGAGAATATCATAATTTTACTTACCAAATGTAAACACCAATCATACTCTTTAATGAACTTCTTGTTGGGAAAAGAAAACCCTAAGGCTGCGTTTGGAAATGATGCAAATGGAGTGTAAATCTCGATTTAGGGTAAATTTGTACTCTGGTTTAATTTTGTCTGTGTTTGGTAATATTATATTTATGCATTGACGAATGATAGAAAATACACTTTTCAATGCATATTTACATTGATAATAATATATAAAAGTATATCAATAAAAAAGATGTAAATTTGTATTCAAATAAGCTTTTGATAAAAAAAAATGCATATGCTTTATTAGAATTCGTATTTGCATCCATTACAGCTAAAAGTCTGTTTGGTAATAAGATAAATTTGTCGGTACAAAACTAACCCAACTTTACAATTTATATGAACCGTTTTACACTTTACATATTTGCATTCACACCTATTTGCATCGTTTCCAAACACAAAGCCTGAGGCTCAGTTTTGGAAGGAGTACAAATATAAATATATAGAGTGCAAGTTTGAAAGTTTAAGCCTTGAAAGTGAGAATACCCCAAAGTATAGGGTAATTAATTAGATGCAATTTACCCCAAAAAAAGAAAATCAGAATTTTGTGAATTCACTAATTACTGTTACAGATATGGCCTTTTTAATTATGATTTATTATTACTTTTTTATAAATAAAATATCTTTTAATTATTTATTACTTGGGGATGCATGCATCTTGTCTATTTATTTATTGCTATGCGATTAACGTTGTCATTAGGCAAACCAACCCATGCACAAGCTAACAGACACATATATAGCTTTGATAATACGTATTTGATACAGTAATTTTTGGTCAGGTGTCTGTTTGACACTAGGCAATTAATTAATACAAATTTGCTAAGCAAAGCTAGAAGGAGATGGTGAGATGCCATGTCATCTTGATAAGAGATAAGGAGATGTATCTGTTAATTATTTGGCAATTGTCTTCTAGTTCTTTCTTTCTGTATAAGTAAGATTTACCTATGAACAACAATTATAGGTTTGAGGGTCCTTTCAGTACTACTTCAATTCTACCAACCCAAGCTGCATTTTATATGATAAAAATGAAATTCTATTGATCAAAATAAGACCAAGCCCCAATACGTTTCTGGAATTGGTATCGGAATAAACTGTTTAATTGGGCGGAATTGGAATTCCATTCCCAATCCTGTTGAAATGGTATTTCCCGTTTGAGAGAATGACTATTCCCTTTCGGAAGATTTCGATTCCCGATTCCAACTGCAAATCAAACGAACCCTAAAATCAGATTGTACCCGCTTACAGTGTGTATGGATAATATAGGAGACATATTAAGTGGATGTGGTGCTCCACATGCATGGTATGTTATGGTATGCCTGAGTATATTAAATATGGAGGGAAAAAATGACCAATTCAAACCGTTCATCAAAATAGGCAGTGGTAATATTACCGATGCAATTTTCTATGGCCCACCATATTGCCATTACATTGAAGTTTCTAGCTTTTAATTTAAAAAATAAATGACTCATAGAGATGGGTTTTTCTGCCACAAGTTGGCTTATTCCATTAGGGTAGTTTGTTTGTGGTGCAAATTTCATTTGTATTGATGTAAATGCAAATGCATGAAAGTATAAATAGGCTGCGTGTAAATTCTGGTTTATATATACATAAAGAGAATGGAGATAGGAGGGTTATTTATTTGGGAGTGACGTGAGAAGCACGATGATATGGTTTTCATTTTATATGAGAGAATTGAGGTAGGACCGTAGGGAGAAGATATATAGTGCAAAATTTGCATCGCCAATGAGTGGAAATGATGGGGCTGCTCATTAAGGATGATTCGAATTCAATCCATTTATATTCCTTTTGGATTTGATTTTAAATATATATATATACTCATATATACATAAAATTGATAAAATTTTTAATGGTAAAGTTGATTTGAATACTGTATTTTTACTAAATTTTCATATGTTCAAGTTTCACAAAAGTAATTTTCAATTCATTTTATTCATGATGAAGCACAATATATAAGTCATTTTTAATTCATTTTATTAATAACATATGATATTTTGATGTTTTTTAGTTCAATTCAATATTTTAAAAGTTCACTCGGAAATGGAATGCTTTTCCTTTAGGTTTCTTACTTCTTAAATCTCTCTCTTTCTCTGACTCCCTCTGATAGACGCATGGCTCATGCAGGTGTGTGATGTGGCGTAGGGAGAAGAGCAACAGATTTCCTCCATTTTCTCTTCATTTTCTTGTTAGTTTATTTCTGTTCTATTTCCTTGTAACCTGTATGTAGGAATAGGTCAATAAAGCCAAGGTGTTGGCCTTAGGAAATAG